AAAAAATATGATTTTGCATCCATTAAAAACAAGTATGATATCCATTTAAATTTGAAATAAATTCCATTAAAAATAATTAAAATAAATTAATATTTAAAATAAATTAACATAATATATAACATTAAAATAAATTAATATAATATTAATAAAAATAAATTTATATAATGTTAGATAAATAAATATATAAAGAAAACCTTTTTTTTTGAAAATAATAAAGAATGTTGAGATTGCGCATGCGTTAAATATTTTAAAATGAAAATCACATTGCTTTAATTGATTGTCGCGGTGTTTTGAATGTCATGGTTGTTTTAAATGGTTGTCATGATTGTTTTAAATGGATGTAAAAACCGGTAATGTATTACTTAATGTTGATTCTGATACTGGTTACTTAGAAAATGAACTTGAAAATTTGGAAGTAGACCACGAAGATATCGACACTACCCAACTTGTTCTACAAAACGCAGAACTAAATTCTTTAATTACAAAAATTTGGAAAGTTGTAAAACCTTTCAGAAAATCACCAACAAAAAATGATAAACTACTGCAAAAATACGTTAAAGAAACTGTCGGAAAAGAATTTTCTTTAATTTTAGACTGTAAAACTAGATGGGGCAGTTTATTAAGCACGCATGGAAAGATTTTTAAAACTTAAAGATGCAGTTTGAAAAAGTCTGATAGATTTAAAAATTGACATTGATTTAGTTTGATTTTTGTAGCCGATCTTACATTAAAATTTATGTTAGACGAGTTAAGTAACTAAAACACTTTTTTAAGTATTGCACTAAAAAATGAGTTGTATTAATGAGTGGTATTAAAGAAAGAAGAATGATGTTTTTAGACGTGTTACACTATATAAATACAATAATGTGAAACCTGGTGAGAGTATTCAAAGAAACCTAAATGAATCAGATTCGGATTTAAATAACAACATTACTGTTAAACCAAATGCTGATTTTTCTATGTAGAAAAAAACTTTTTCTTAAAAAACAAACGGACAAGAATAAAGGAATAACTATTTTAGAAGAAATTAAGACAAAAGGTCTAAAAAAAGTTATAAAAAAAGAGTTGGAGTACTTTCGACAAGAAAATATACGAGGGAAGTACATTTAAGTTTTTGACTATTTGATGACTATTCGTCCAACAAGTGTTGAACCTAAAAGAATATTTTCAGGAGCTAGACTAATTTCTAATAAAATTAGATTTCGATTAGGACACAAGACAGTGGATAGTTTAAGCTTTCTACGAAGCAACTTTTTTAAAAATAATATTTAATAAAAATGGCATTGCAAAAAATTGTATCGATTTTCTGATATATAAAGTTTATTGGTAATTTACCGATTTACCGGTATTACAATTTTTATTTACCGAATTACCGGTAAATCAAAAAGTCGTTAAATTTACAAACCCTAGTTGGGGACCTAATGCTGAATAATTTTAAAGGATCTGATTCATTTAATTATCGTGTTTTAACTCCTTTTTCGTTAATAATTGTGTTTTAACTTCTTTTCTTGAAAACTCTTTAAATTAATTCTTGAAAAGTTTTTAAAAATATATACCAACTAAAGAAGTAGCGTTCCCTTAATAAATCAGACTGAATCAGTAAATATAGACTATATTTAATCTAAAACAATAAATAATCACAACAAGATGCGTTTTAACCATAGGGTAGAACCATAGCTGAGCATAGGGTAGAACCATAGCTGAGCATAGGGTAGAACCATAGCTGAGGGGTAAGTTGGGCAAATAAAGTATCTCAAAAACTACGCTTCACATGACAAAACAACTATTGGATGAAAGTTAATGAATTAGAAAGTTAACACAATGCGCAACAAAAGACTGCGGTAAAGCAGTTGAGTAAAATACACGGGCTCTTTTTCTATTTTAGACCAAAAAAGTAAAAAACAAAATTTTTTTTGGCATTTTTCTCTTATATGCTAAAAAACTCTTTTTATCTGCCATAACTTAAGCGTTGATATTTTACAAAATTATCGGAATTTCGACTAAAATTAGCTATTTTTTCCTAAGTCTTATTGATTTCTTTAAAACCCAACTCATGTATCACCTTGTTTAGTTGGGGTGTGTTGAAGAGCTTTGAAAAAAATAAATAAAGCTGAGCTATCTAACACAAAAAACAACTTTAATGAGAACTACATTATTTATATACCTTTTTAAAATTTGTAATTTTAAAATCAGGTTTAAAGTTCAAGATAGTTGCATAAAACAATAATTTAATATTTTAAGATTAATTACTTTATTACTATTTAATTTTTTATCTTCTCTTACTTACGTCATTAAATTGTATAAAATAAAAAATTTATAAAAATATACACACTCTTACTGTTAGTGAAAGTTTTAATGATAAATAACCTAAGTTTCGTAACATGTATATTCATTTATTTTTTGATTGCTCAACTTAATTTAAAAATATTATGTAAACCCGACGCACCATTCATGAGATCTGTTAGATTTAGTAGAAACTGCTCAACTACCCCCGCTCTACCCTAATGCCTAAAATCATTTTTTCAATTTTTTCAATCAATTTTTTTCACCGCAATTTTCACCGCGAACGGACGTGTTTTAAGAGCTTATTAAAAAACTTATAATAATGGCGAAAAACTTTACACCAGCACAACTTAAAGAAATCCTTGAAAATCACGAGAATACTATGATGAAAATTTTTAATGATCGGATAGAAAAAATGGAAATTAAATTTAATAACTTAAAAGATGAAAACTTTACGTTAAAAAAAGAATTATCTGAGGTACAGAAAGCTGTCGAATTTATAAGTTAAAGCTATGATAAAATAATAATTGAACTTACAGAATTAAAAAAAACAGAGTCTAAGAAATCACCAGATGAAAGTAATATTGAAAATGGAACTAATAACATAAAAGAGAAAATAGCAGAACTAGAAGACAGAAGTCGTAGAAACAACTCGTCGCGTTGGTTTGACAAGGTTCTAACTGATCCGCTAGTAGTTTTGAGCAAATCAATGTTAAAAATTGTTATGTTCCTCCCATCAAAATTTATTAAAATTCATCGATAATAATTTTTACTCATGATAACATAAGCATTTGCTATAAGTATTACTATTTTTTATTAAAAAATGTTTCACTCTATATAGAAAAATGAATACCCCAAAACGCAGTTAGAACCTTGTCATAGTGAAATAATCATATTCTCACTGTGACAAGGTTCTAACTGCTGTTATAACGGTAGTTAGAAACATGTTAGTTACTTTGAAACTTTGCGACTGAAGCTGTTAGTTACTTTAAATTTTGTAACTGAAACAATAATATAATAAAAAGCTAATTTTCATAAATTAGATTATTGTTTCAGTCACAAAACAAAGTTACAACATTTTTTTTACTCATTTTTTATTTTTTTTATACTACATTTTTTTGGTACATTTTAAAACCATTACATTAAGTACAGGGTTAAAACCCTTAAAAAATTTTCATGTTTATTTTATAGGTGAAAAACAACTCGATAGTATTCTCTGTCCTCGAGAGGCATAAACGGAAATGCAGCTTTAATATCTTTTTTTTTTTAAGTCTGCAAGTTCTTTTGTACAATTTTGAATCTTTGGTTTTACATTCAAAATAGTGGAAGTTGATGGACTTGTTGCTGCATTTTTTTCTGTTAGGTTTTTCATTGAACTTGACATTTGCACAGTTCATAGGTTCATTGCGATCATGGCTAGATTTGAAATGTATAATATGAGATGTTTGAGTAAATTTTAGAACAGCAACGTTAGAAAAAGGAACTGACTTTATCTAATTAAATCACTGAAGTCGTTTTCCTCTGCCACATCACTCAAAATTTTGCAAAAGGCACTGGCAAGATCATTGCCGCTTCTTCCCGCCATTGATTCAGTCCATAATGCACAATACACTTTTTTGGTTGTTGAAAAATAAGCTGTCAAATTATACACGCTAAGCTTTCTCAGATAAAAAAGGGAACTAATTTCTGCATGCGGAGTCAAAATAACATTTTGAAGGTTAAAAAGTAAAACAGGACAATTTTTATCCTTTTTCTCTTCAGAACGTATATCTCTCATTTCTTTTTTAAAAACTTGATTTTTTTACTGGCTCAATATTTTCGTTTATACATTTCTCTTTGTAAAGATTATACATTTTTGAAACATTAAGGTGTGACTCAAGGTATTCTCTATTGGTACTTACACGACAATAATGTGACTCAACTGTTGGAAAAGATTTTATGTGTTCCCTAGCTGAGTTGGCATCACTATGCGGTGTACGTTTGTCTTTCATGATTTTACCTCGTAGATCTTGTGCAGGAGTATTTGTTTAATATCTTTGGTGTTGTGAGCTGTGTAAACTGGCTTTTGTGAAATGGACAGTGTAGTTAAGTGGAATGTTTTGCAAACACGGACTTTTTCACCTTTTACATGAAAAAAATATCTATAGGCGTACTTCCTTTTTGATAAAACTTGTTTTTCAGCGTGGTCATCAGTTTCTTTATTTGCAGTATCACTATCATTGTTTTCCTCGTGGTTTCTTTTTGGTCTAGCACTGGTTGTGCGATCAGTCGAAGTAACAAAGAAATGCCTCTTTTCAGTAGCTGAATTTAAGGCATAAAATGATGAAAAAATATCAATTCGCTCATCTTCTGATATTTTCTTAGCACATTCGTACTTACAGTTTGCCAGACAGTTTTTTTTTGTTTGAATAATCTTATTTGGTACTTGTTTTCCTCTTCGACTTGTATAATTTTTACCAGCTTGGTATGCCTTTTTTTTTTATTACATCCCCAGGTTTCAGGTTTAGATTTTCGTTTTCGGAATTTTTTCTTAAACGTTTGTTGAACTTGATCCCTAGAAGAGTATTATTACTTAGTCGATAATAGTATCTCTAGTATATAATCATATACTAATTAAATCGTTCTTAAATGATTAAAATGGTTCACTTTGTATATAATAGTAGATTTTAATGTAGAAACCACTTTTTAGATGAAATTTTTATTAAAAAAACAAATCATAAATAAATAAAATATATATTTAAGATTTAGAGGGTGATCGAGGGGGAACACTACATATTTGGCTTACTTGTTTGTCACTAATTCAGCAACATTCGTAGGTTGTACATTCATGTCTATCTCAGAACTTTTTTCAGTTTGTGCTACATGAACATTATTGGCATTGTTTCCAGAAGCTTCTTCAACAATATTTTGTTTAGAATCTTGTGCAGTTCTGGAACATTCTAGTGCAGTTCTGGAACATTCTAGTGCAGTTCTGAAACATTCTAGTGCAGTTGTGGAACATTCTAGTGCAGTTCTGGTTAAATTAAAGCGCCTCTTCTTCCTGTTTAAATATTAAAAAGTAATAAACTTTTTAAAAAACTTTTCAAAAGCTTATAAATTTAGCTATTTTAATATGTAAATGCATAGCCAAAGTTACACAAAAAGTTATATTAGGTTACTAACCGTATACTTAATTCATAGCAGTCTTCGCCGCTTTCACTAGTTGGAGCTACAAATTCGTCACTATCATAACTGCTTTCTTTATCAAATACTACTCTTTCCATTTTCTGTTGATATTTTACTTAAAACGAAAATAATAACTTTCAAATTGTTTTTTTTTTACTTTCAAATCATTTTTAAAATCTTTTTTTAACTACGCAGCCTGGTTTTTAAAATTGATACAAAAATGTTTTACTACAAGTTGTTTAATTTTATATTTGATTTAACAATTTAAAATAAGTTACTTTGCAAAATCAACGTTCTAAAGTGCACATATATCGACTAACCGTTGTAGATAAGTGAAGAAAAATGAACAAGTATTGACTTACTTTTTGGGGTAGGCACTGTAAAATATAGTTAGATCGACTTACCGTAAGGGAATGGCGCGGCAAATTGTACTTGCATTGACTCCGAAAAGTTTGTAAATTTATTAATGCATAAACATCATTATTTTAAAAAAATATTTTAGACCATAAATCCCCTTTTTATTTTGAATAATATTAGTTATTTCTATGCTAATCGAAACCAGAATTTTGTTTTTCAATGTTACAGGTGTCAATTTGAGTAAAGCTACAGAATGTTATAAAAAAGATTTTTTTTAAATGTCAAATAATAGCTTTAATGATATTTTATTCTACATCGGTGTCAGAACTTTTTTATATGATTTTTTATCATAATAATTAGTTAATAAAAACCAGCAAGAGAATTTGCAGTTATTGTTAGTTAGAACCTTGTCAAACTAAATATCATTTAACTAAAGTTGCAGATAGAACTTTGGCACATTAGCAGTTTGCTTGTTTTACGCTATATCGCTGTAAATTTCAGTTTATTTTGTTCATCATGATTAAAATAGTCTAATAAAATGATAAAGTCGATTTTGGCAAAAATGTCAGTTAGAACCTTGTCAAACCAACGCGACGAACTTGAGATTTATTGGGATTAAAGATAAAGCTAATGAAACTTGGGAAGAAAGTGAGCAAAAAATCAAAGACTTCCTCAATACAAAGCTTAATATACAAGAAAAAATTTTAATAGATAGAGTCCATCGAGTTGGAAAAAAAAACGGAAAAAACAGATCAATAATTGTTCGATTTCAAAACTACAAAGACAAAGCCCTAGTGTTAAACAAATATACGACGATGAAGCTATGGAACGAACGGTTGTACGTTAACGAAGACTTTAGCGATTTTACAATGGATTTACGCAGAAAGCTTTTCAAAGAAGCGAAAGAATTGAGAGCGAAAGGTAAGTTTGCTAAAGCAGTTTACAATAAATTAATTACGCGCGACCTATAATTATAAAGGAATTCTTTTAATGTTCTATAATTAAATTTAAAAACAAAAATGGATGACTACGAATCCATTACTTTTAATTTTCATGATAAGTACTTAAAATCAAATTTTAATTCAGATCCAGATGTCAACTTTTTTAATGATGTGAACACATGTTGTTCTTATTTTTATCCCAACGAGTTAAAAGAATTTCTTAATAAAAATGGCACTGAAAATCAAAAAATCAGAATCCTTCACATTAATATTAGAAGTCTAAATACAAATTTTGAAAAGTTTTGCGATTTTTCAGATAAAACTGAAAATATTTTTAACATAATTTGCTTAACAGAAATAATTCTATTTTTCATCTTCCAGGTTTTGAAACAATTTTATTAGAAAGACAAACAAATAACGCGGTGGAGGAGTTCTGATTTACGTTAAGGAACACATTGCACATAACATTAGGAATGATATGTGCGTTTCTGACGGTGATAAAGAAATCGTAACTATTGAAATTTTAAAAAATAAAAAAAATAGTATTCTATTAAGCTGCTGTTATAGACCACCTGATGGTGCGTCTGAAAATCTTAGTTTCTTTTTACAGCAAAATATCATTTACAAAGTTAGCAAAGAAAACAAAATTACTTTTATAAATGGAGATTTCAACATGAACTGTTTAATTTATAATAAAGATAAAAAAATAAAAAGTTTTTATGATGAAATACTTATGGCAAGAGCTCTTCCTTCAATTAATCGCCCGACTAGAATAATCAAAACTTCAACTACGTTGATTGATAATATTTTTACAACAGATATTTATAATAGGAAATTAAAAAAAAGGAATTATAAAAACCGACATATCCGATCATTTCCCCATTTTTCTAACAATCCATACTGTATCCTCTAATAACCCCGAAAGACAAAATATAGTAAAAAAACGTGTCTTCAATGAGAGCAATATAAAATCCTTCCAATATCAATTATCACTTCTGCATTGGAAACATATTAACTTTAATGAAGACGCAAATACAATATATAATAAATTCTTTGATACGTTCTTCTCAATATACGATGCAAACTTTCCACTTTGTGAAAAAATAACAAAAATAAAAACCTTAAATAGTCCATGGATTACCAAAGGACTTAGAAAATCCTCTAAAATCAAACAGAAACTATATATAAAATATCTAAAAACAAAATCAAATGAAAACCAACAAAAATATAAAAATTGTTATTCAAATTTAATTAGTAAATTTAAAAACGACTCAAAAAATACTTGGAGAACGTTGAAAGAAATAACAGGAAAACAAAAAACAAAATCAAACTCCCTTCCTAAAGTAATAAAAATAAATAAAACAAATATATATGAACCAAACGAAATTGCAAACGAGTTTAATAAATATTTCATTGACATAGGAACCAAATTGGCAAACAAGATCCCTATTACAGAAAAAAATTTTAGTGATTTCCTAGAGCCTATAAATAATTCGCTTTTTATAGATAATTTACATTCTGATTTATCTTTTGATGAGTTTGAGAGAGCTTACAAATCTCTCAAAAGAAACAAAGCTACGGGTGCGGACGAAATAAATGGCAACATAGTCATAGATTGCTTTGAAAACTTAAAATGTATTCTTTATAAAGTCTTTAGGGCATCTATACAGCAAGGTGTATTAAAAATAGCTAAAGTAACTCCTATATACAAAAACGTAAAAAAATCAAATATTAGTAATTATTGCCCTATCTCAGTTCTTTCAACTTTCTCAACAATTTTAGAAAGAATTATATACAATAGAACATACAATTACCTTAATCTAAATAAACTTCTATATAAAAACCAATTCGGTTTTAAAAAAAATTGTTCAACTGAACAAGCCATTACACAGTTCATTTGTGAAATCTCCGATTCATTTGGTAGATCACAATATACATTAGGTATTTTCATTGACCTATCAAAAGCACTCGACACGGCCGATCACAAAATTCTACTTAAAAAACTCAAATTTTACGGAATTAATGGCAAATTAATAAAATGGTATAAAAGTTACTTGGAAAAAAGAAAACAATTTGTTTTCTATGGAGATTATTTTCAAAATGAAAAATTAATTGACATAAAATGTGGTGTTCCACAGGGTTCTATTCTAGGCCCACTTTTGTTTTTAGTTTATATAAATGATTTAGATAAGTATAATTTTTGCGGACGATACTAAATTATTTCTGTCAAACAGTGGCATTTATGAGCTTTTTTCAAATATGAATAAAGAACTCAATCAGATCTCTAACTGGTTTAAGTGCAACAAGTTAACTTTAAACATTGACAAAACAAAGTGGATCCTTTTCCACTCTCTTGCAAAAAAGCGTTTTTTACCAAATAAATTGCCTAAACTTTTTATTGATAAAATTGAAATAAAAAAGTCACAAGATTTTTAGGCATTTACATTGATGAAAATATTACATGGAAGTATCGTATCGACTATATTTCTACTAAATTGGCTAAAAGTATTGGAATTCTATATAAGGTCAGATACTATCTAAGTAAACAAAATTTAATTCAACTCTACTACTCATTTATTCATAGCTATATAAGTTATGCAAATATTGTTTGGGGAAGTACCTCTAAAAGTAAGTTACGAAATCTTTACCATCGTCAGAAACACGCAATGCGTTTAATATGTTTTGAAAATCGTTTTTCTCATTCAAATATTTTATTTAAAAACGTTAAAGCACTTAACGTTTACGAACTCAATGTCTATAATATTTTATGTTTTATGTTTCGTTGTATAAGTGAACGACCATTGTCCAATTTCAAAAATCTTTTTACTTATAAAGCTATAAACAAATATGCTTTACGAAATAATAATTTATTAATTGAACCCTTTTGTCAAACAAAGTTTAATCAATTTTGCATAAACTATAGAGCACCGTATTTATGGAACAAAATTGTTGTTCCAAATTTTGATTTGTCAATTTCGTTTTCCGTTTTTAAAACTAAATTAAAAAACTATATTCTTTCTAATGGCAATATATATAAATATTTTTGAAATGTAAAATTCTTTTTTTTCACTCTTGATAATTTGTAAAATTATTTTCAGTTTTTGTTCCTTCTACATTGTTAATAGTTATTTGATCAATTATATTTTTATTTTATTTTATATACACGTATGATATATTTTATATGGTTCTGGCGACAAGATCATTTGGATCTTCTTTCAGATACCAAGTTTATATATTGTTATATTGTTACATTACGATTAATAATTGTAAACTGAAAAAAAAAAAAAAGCAGCCTATTGAACAACTAAAAATTATCAACACATTTGCCATTGAGCAACAGCAAAAAAAGAAGCGTAAAAAAAATGTTATTATTTATGGCATTAAAGAATCTGCAAAGTTATCAGTTGCTGATAAGCATATCGACGATAAGGAAACGGTTCAGAATATCTTAGTTACTATTTCATCTGATGCAAAACCAAAATCTGTCAAACGTATTAAATCTACGTCCTCTAAACCAGGACCAATTATCGTCGAACTTTCTGATGTCTCCGAAAGAAACCCATTATTAACAGCAGCAAAAAAATTGAAAAATTCAGATAATTATAAAAATATTTTTATAAGCCCAGATTTGACTGAGGCTGAAAGATATTTAAACTATCAGTTAAGAATGAAGCGTAATGAATTAAATAGTAATATCAATTTAAAAACATCGCCCTTTAGATACGGTATACGAAGCAGCGGAGTCGTCAAACTCAAAAATATACAAACCACTACATAAACATTACTACCCTTCTTCCACTCTTTTACCAGCAAACTTAAAATAAAAAAGTAAAAATCTTCATAACAAAAAAACAAACTATAGCGTTAATTGTTATTATACTAATGCTACATCTCTCGATAATAAAATGGCCGATTTAATTTCAATATCTAGAACGTTTGATTATCACGTTATTGCTATCTCTGAAACATGGTTTCGAAATGACTCAGTACCTAATATCGATGGGTATAGCCTATATCGTAAAGATCGTCATGACGGACGTCGAGGTGGCGGTGTAGCTATCTACATTACAGACGTATTTAACTCTCATGAAGTTAACCAATTTTATACAAATCTTCTCGAACAAGTCTGGGTATCTGTAAAATTTAACAACAAACATATACTTATCGGTTGTATATACAGACCAAATGATGCCAGTTTAATAAAATATGTCGCTGAATCCTTCAAATTAGCTCATAGTTTAATTAAAAAGCCCTATGATGACTGTTTGATTGTCGGTGGCTTTAACTTCCCGAATATAAAGTGGTCTAACGATGGTATTGAATCTTTTAACCCAAACAATCCTACCGAGTATGATTTCTGGAATATTTTCCAAAACAGCCTTTTTACTCAACATATCACATTTCCTACTTTCCAGACTGATTATGGTTCCTCAAATAATATGTTGGACTTGTTATTTACCTACAACAGTAATTCTATTTTAAACTTGTCTCCTAGTACTATACTAGGTAACACCACTAAGGGTCATTTTAGTATCACTTGGAGATTCTTAGTTTCAGAACTGTTTACCGAAAGTGAATCTCAATCGTTTAATTACAAAAAAGGTGATTACGATTCAATATCTAACTTTATTGCATCAATCGACTGGGAGTTTTTATTCCTGCATAAAACTGTAGATCAAATGTTCAATATACTAATTTCTAACTATCGCACTGCTTGCACATATTTTATTCCCAAGATTAATAAAACAAAAAAAAAGTATGATCCTTGGGTTACCCCACATATTAAAAACCTGATCCGAGAAAAAAAATCCGCTTGGCATATAAACTGCTCTACCAAATGGGAGAATAGTGAGCTTAAAATAAAATACAATCGCCTTAATCGTTCAGTAAAAACTGAAATATTTAAAGCAAAAAAAGCACATGAAAAAGAAATAATATCAAAATCCCAAAACAACCCAAAAATCGTTTACAAATATATCAACAAACAACTAAAAATTAAAGATAGAATTCGCTCTCTCAAAGATACTTCAGGCAGAATTATTGAAGCTCTTCCTGATATAGTTGATCTTCTGAACTCTCAATTTAAATCTATGTTTACACTTGAAAGCTCTGAAAATTTTCCTTTGCTAAATAAAAGTGGTATTCTTTCTGAATGCATTTATAATGAAAACTTGGATTTCTCTATCTCAGATATTATTCAGGAACTTGCCGATCTAAAGCCTTATAAATCCTTCGGATCTGACGGCTTGCATCCCTTAATACTCAAGATATGTGCCAAAAGCTTTGCAATTCCATTAACAAAAATCTTTCATAAATCCTTTAATTCTGGAGTAGTACCCACTCAATGGAAATTAGCAAATATTAGTCCGATCTATAAAAAAAAAGGGAGATAAATTACTTGCTGAAAACTATAGACCTATTTCACTAACATCTGTTGCCTGTAAAATCTTTGAAAAACTTGTAAAGAAAAAAATTTTAAAGCACATTAACGATAATAAAATGCTCTCTGCAAATCAACATGGCTTCCTTTATCATAAATCATGCGTAACTAACCTAATAGAAACTTTTGATATCATTTCGTCCTCCATAGCATCTCACCAATTTATTGATGTAATCTATCTTGACTTTGCCAAAGCGTTTGACTCTGTACCTCACAACAGACTTTTGTTAAAATTAAGATCTTTCGGAATAAACGGCAAACTCCTACAATAGATTAAATCTTTTTTAGTGGGCAGAAAGCAACGCGTTACAATTAACAATACCAGCTCTGCATGGGCTGATGTTCTCAGTGGTGTTCCTCAAGGTTCTGTTCTCGGCCCGCTCCTCTTCATTCTCTTCACAAATGATCTCGCAAAACTCACTGAAACTTCTGAAATATTTGCCGATGATACTAAACTTTTTTCTAAAACCTTATCGCAATCTAATTTTGTTGATCTGCAGGATCGTCTACGCTTGGTATACGAGTGGTCAAACACTTGGTTACTTAAGCTAAACACTTCAAAATGCTGCGTCATTCATTACGGTCGAAACAACCCCCATTACAATTACTTTCTTCAAAATAACCAAGGAATCAACCAATCTCTAAGAAGCTCTACTAAAGAACGTGATTTAGGAGTCATTTTTACATCTAACCTCAAGTGGAGCGCTCATATTCAAACAGTTGTCTCTAAGTCCTTACAAATTCTCGGTATGCTGAAAAAGACATTCACTTTCATTGATGAAAAAATGGCTCTCAAATTATATAAAGTATTTATAAGACCACATCTTGAATATGGAGTGTCCATTTGGGCTCCTTATTTAAAAGCTGATATGGCTTTGGTTGAATCTGTTCAACGCAAAGCTACAAAATGGGCTTACAGCTTGAGGCATCTTCAATACTGCGAAAGGCTAAAAAGATTAAACCTACCATCACTTGAGTTTCGACGCCTTCGATGCGATTAAATCCAAATTTTTAAATTAATACATCGTTTTGATATAGTTAATGATAAATATCTACCAAAATATATTAACTCCGTGTCTCGTGGTCACCATTCTAAAATAAGGCGTGAGTATGTTCTAAACTGTCTTCCAAGATATAATCATTTGTATAATAGATCAGCAAAATACTGGAACAATCTACCAGAGCAAATAACTTTGTACTCCACTGTACTTTCTTTCAAAAATAGACTAGACTCCTGGTTGTGGAAAAAGTTTGGAACAAATATTTATAAAACTGGTTGTTTATAGTGGGGTGTTTCCCCTGCTCGCTGTATGTGTACATTCTATGTAAATTTACGGCTACAACTATAATAATAATAAAAAAAAAAAAAAAAAAAAAAAAAAAAAAAAAAAAAATTTAAATGTGTGTTCAAGACTTCATCATAATTTTAACCAAAATACTTTGAACACACATACCAAGATCAATCAGTGAAAGAAACAACTTGACGTGAGTTTCTTTTTACTAATGGATCTGGTTTTTACAACAATATTGGTTCAACATTAACGTAATACTTTTTTTTGGTTTTTAAACTCAGGATGTACAACCAGGATGTACAAGCATTTTTATAATGCTCGGACAACACTCTTTCTTAATTTTAAACTCACATCCAGAACTAAGAACTAGAAATAAAAATGCTGCCTTTTTTTTGCTTTTCAAAATATGGAAAATAAATGTTGGTATAAATTTTAAGATATAAAACACCTGGAGTTTAATTTTAAAATAGTTTTTTCATAAACAATTACAACTAGACATAAGACATATATATCCCGAGGACTAGTCTTAGTATGTTTCAGTAGCTTTAATAATGTTGCGTATTATAAAGATCACGTTTGAAAAAAACATGTTATAAAAATTACAACGGACATTGTAAGTTTTTTTTATTATTATTCATTAAATTTTTAACCTTACGAGCAGACATCAATATAAAAAGCTAACGTAAGTACAAATTATATGTATTCAAAATAATACAATAATTTAACAGTTAATAATAATTTTTTTACAAAACTCAGAAAGTTTAAAATTAATATCAATTCGTAGAATTTTGAAATACTAATTTAAGGCACCCATTGGAAGTACATACATTTCAAATGTATAAAAAATAAATATTCTATACTAATATTTTATTTTTATTCATCTATTGTTTTATCTTATTTATCTTTCAATCAAAATAACTGACTGTAAAAAAATGCAAATTTTCTTTTTCCCATTCAACTTTTTTTATCCAGTAATTATTTTCACTTGAATATTGACAGCAAAAAAATACTGCAAGTTATTATAACTTCATGAAATGGTATAAACAAAGTCGTTTAACACATAATTATGAATTACATTAGGGGTTTTTGGTTTCAGCCAAGACAAAGCAGCCAACTTTAACTGCGAAAATGTCAACCGTTTTTGGAAACCTCCATATAATGCAAAAGCCACCGCGTTTACAGCACCATTAGCTGAAGAAGATATGACACCCAAAATAAGTATCGTATAATCTGGAGCATCGTTAGGATGAATTGCGTTCATAATGCGAAAAATTAATGCCGGTAGAGATACAATTAAATAAATTAGCGGGTACACAGCCAACTGTTTTATTTCTTTCAACATGAAAGTGTTTCTATTATCAGCTTGTACTGCATTGTTATGTACACCTGCCCATTGTTTTTTTTCTTGCACTGCTTTTAAAAGAATATAGAAATATGACGTTACGAGGAAAAAAACCACAACAAATTTTGGAACATACCAAGCTCCAAAGCGCATTGCAGCAGCATCATGTCTTATCCAACACCATGCACCCGCTTTACCGTAGCTGTTTTTTATAAAAGGCAAAGCAACCCAAAATAATGGAAGCAACCATGAAATTAAATGCAAATATTTTTCTTTATTTTCAATTGTTTGTTTTTTTGTAGAGCACAACACATGAATAGTTATAGAAATTACCCACAATAAGGTTGACCATGAAAAGTATTGCATTGCTATCGCTTGAAACATACAGATTATATAGTTGTTTATGTCACTAATTAGATAACTGATTGATTGAAGTGCAGAACTTATACTTAGAAAAAATAAAAGTCGGAAAACGAAGAACTGATAATCACGAAACAGACATATTATAAGTATTACAAACATGCACCCGAACAAGGATAACCCTGCGAATACTTGCAAATAAATCATAACAGATTCACATTGGTGCAAAGTATAGTAATATGGCCATAAGCACATTACGGTATTATTCAAATAGCTCATATTAATCTAAAAAAATAGTTAATAAGTGTATCTGAGTTTAAATATATAAGTTTTTTGTATTATATTAAAAATTTCAAGTGAAAGCCTAGAAATATTTTTGTTTTATTATTAAAATAGTAGATTTAAGAGTTGCATTCTAAGCAAATATAAAAGATGTTAAAAAACATGTGCGTGTAAGTTTGTGTGTGTGTGCGTGCGTGTGCGTGCATGTGTATGCACGTTTTTGTTTGTGTGTGTGATCATCATCTAATTTTACTGATACTCCAACAGAGGGTTTGTAATCCCATGCTTTATTTTGAACGCTGGAATTTTGGTATTACATTTACTTAGTCCCGTACTTACCAAGTACCTGTTCTTACCAAGTACCTGTTCTTGAAAGATAATAATATACTAGTTTAGAAAAATTTTAACGAAATTAATAACATGACACATTCAAAAATAGGTTTAAAAAAACTGTTCATTAAATTATAAGGGAATATTTTGGTTTTTCAATATTATAATATATATTTATTAAATTTGAACGATTTCATTTTTTTTATAGATGTAACGTATTTATTTTTGATTATTTCTAAAATACGTTTTGAGGTAGCCAGGTTTTATGACCAAAACGACTTCTGCAGAAAAAGCACATTCAAATTCTACTCTGCAGAGTGGCGTAGGGTAGCCAAAATTGAATTTTTTTTTTTTATTTTTTATGTTTTTCATACGGTGGAATTAAAAGTTATAAACATTCTATTCAAATATGTTAAAATATCAAAAATTTTAAAAATTTTAACTATGAAATATGAGAGTTAGGCACAAAGTTAAAATTTTTGCTCAAAAGTCAAAAGAAAACTTTATGGGTGATGTTCCAACCTGGGTGATGTTCCAACCAATTTATATAGAATTAATTTTAATAATTCTCCACACATATATACATTTATGGAAAGATCTATATTAATGGTTTAAGTTATATGTTTAAGTTATATATTTAAGTAATATGGTTTAAGTTTTTTAAAAGGATTTAGTTGTAGTTGTGAAAATAAGGCCAAAATATAAAAAAATAATGTAATATTTTAACTTTAGTGATATACTTTCTTTCTTTTTATTTTTTTTATTGTTATTAAGATGCCCCAAGAAGACCTAACGGTCTTGTCACAGAGCACCGCGGAAGTGCATTTAACCAGGAAGTTCACGCCTCCTTCCTTACCGTAGCGCAAAAATATGTCCAAGGCTCGTTCGAACCTGGATTTCCTGCATATAAAGCAAGCGCTCTAACCACTGAGCCACGGCCGCAATAACATAAATATACAATTTTTTACACGGTGGCATCAGCTGATTTACTCGGTGACAACTGTTTACACGGTGACATGAGCTCGAAAAATTTAGAGAAAGATGCAGCCGTAATTTTTGGCACTATTTAGAAATATTTGTTTGAATAAGATTACAAAAATAATTGTTGTTGAATAAGATTACACAAATTTAACTATCAGAGTATCAAATTAAAAAAAAGTAATAAGTTTTAAGAAAGAGTTTTAATGCTAGTCGGGTCAAAAGTTTTATAAAAGAGGTTAAATGCTAGCAAGGTCAAACCAAGCCATTTAGTGTACTGATATTTACGTCACCAATAACAACAATGTTTGCTGATGAATAAAAAAAAAGACCTCAATCAATTCGATTAGATGTAATATTAAAAAGAGTGCAATTTTGAGCAGAAGAAGAGCGGCAAAATAAAGAGGTTGAGTGAGGAGGCGCAAAATAAAAGCGTGTTGAATGGTCAAAGAATTCAAACTTCGTTTAACGAATAATTCAAACTTCGTTTAACGAAAACGAGGTTAATTGTTACTCATATATATGCTCAGACTAAGCAGCAGTTGGAGTCTTTGCAAATCAAAGATTAATAATCATCAACAATGTAATCCAAAAAAAAATGTCGAATTCAAACTAGTCTTACAAAGAGTAAATAAGTTGGCAAAATTTTGCAAGAACTAAGATTAAAATGAGTAAAAAGATATTTCAAAGACCACAAACATTATCAAAATCTAGACTGAAACAAAAAGATGACAAGTTTTATGTGTTGAAGAGTATTATGTTTAATATTATAGGCAATATAGCCATGCTTTCTGTTATTATTGAAAAATGGACTTGATTATAGATAGTGTATCACACTAAGAAATCAACTTTGCAGTGGTCTCAGCAATTAAACTAAAATTTTAATAAATGACTCCTTATGTGGTCTCCTTATGTGGTCTTGGCAATGAACGCCAAATGCGCTAACAGGGACATCATCCATTCGCTACATGATTATAGTAGAGTCAAGATAATCCAGCAATCATAATCTAAGCAAGAAAAATTCAAATTATCCTGATATGAATAATAGAGAGAGAGATAGAGAGTTGCATAAACAGAACAGATCTTTAATTGGAACACTTGCATTTATATTCGAAAAAAAAGCTTTATGACTATATTTTTCTAGTAAAACGTCTTACTTTCTAAGTTTCAAGAGATTATGAAAGTTATTTTTAAAAAAAGGCATGTACACTATTAATTTGCATTATATTAATTGCACCGGGTAAACTATAATGCTATGGGTTACATTAGCTTTTGTACAATTTTTTGTTTGTATAATTTTCATTTTGCTTTCATTTTGACATATTATAATACTGTTATAAGTTTTGAATGAATTGTTTAATATGTCACTGTCAAGATGAAAATAATTTTTATTGTTTTTTTAAAAAAAAAAAAAAAGAAACAACCTGTTGCTATTAAAAAAATCAATGGGTTTCAATTTAGGAAACTGGTTGCGATTAGAACAAAATGTGCATATATAAAGGAAAGCGTTACCCCCTATATATAAGGGCTGGGCAAATTAACGCGTTTTTATCGCTTTAATGCATTAATTAATTAACGCCGACAATTAGTTTATCGTGCGTTAGCATACTTTTTATTTTGAAAGTCTGAAGTGAAAAATAAATTTTTTAATTTAAATTTAATAGTTCATTAAATGTCCCCCACTAAACACCACCCTCCCTCCACCCCTAGTTTTTTTCCAAAGAACTTTTTTATTGCTATTTTAAGAATATTCTAGACAGAGAGAACTTTTTTTAAAAATTGACAATTGTGCCCCTCTACTTCGAAACCCGTGTCTTTGCCCGTGTAAACTTAAAAATGACAGGACTGCACAAAAATTATTTTTAAATAAACTTGTCCAATCTTTAGTTTACAGAACTATTAAATTTAAATTAAGAAGTTAATATCCACTTTTTAAAAAAGTAAAGAAAAATATTTGCTAAATTTTCAACTTTTTAGTCTTTACAATGAGTTTCAGCCGTTCGTTTTTTTTCTTTTTTTTGAGCTTTACAAAATTTACTTACTCTATTTTTAACTTGTCTGTAAAAGATTTCGCTTCTCATTATCAATTTTTTGCTTATTATTGCTTATTATTATTATATTAATTTATATTAGTATTAATATATTAAAACAGATATTTTTTTTGTATTTTTTATTTAATGTTTGTTTATAGTTTTGTTTAAATATATATATATATATATATATATATATATATATATATATATATATATATATATATATATATATATATATATATATATATATATATATATATATGGGAACCCCTGAGGTTACAGAATAAGAAGAAGAGTGCTGTCCATCAAGGACAACCTTTATACTACGATTGGAAAGGAAAGATTCAATAACCTTAAAGATGTTACCAGATACACCGTTAGGAAAAAGCTTATGGAGAAGACCAGCATGCCAAACTTTATCAAACGCTTTAGAAATGTCAAGAGCAATGGCCTTAACCTCTCCGCCTTTATCTAATGCGCGATAAAACCTATCGGTTATTACTGATAGCAAATCAGCCGTAGAACGAGAAGATCAAAATCCATATTGATGATCAGAAAGTAGGTTATGAGATTCGAGATGAGAGATTAAGTGTTTGTTAATTAAAGATTCAAAAACCTTGCTTATGACAGGAAGAAGACTAGTGGAACGGTAGTTATACAAATCGTATCGCTCTCCAGAATTTTTTAAAATAGGAATAACAGATGCTGCTTTCCAGCAGGCTGGAAAACAAGACTCTGATAAGCACTTGTTAAATAGTTTTGAAAGGATAGACGACAGCTCCGGAGAACACTTCTGCAAGACTATAACAGGTATGTTGTCCGGGCCGCAAGCTGTAGAAGAGTTTAAGCAGGAAATCACTTTAGATACAGAAGCTGGAGTGATACGGATGTCGAGCAATGGATCAACCTGTTTGACGGCTATATCGAGTAGAACGCAACTAGTGGAATCAAGAGATGATATTGATGAAAAGTTCTTGGCAAACAATTCAGCTTTGTCTTAAGGTGAGGTGATAAAGTCTGAACCATACAAAAGAGGTGGAATTACAGACTTGCCCTTATTATTGATACTATTAAAGATTTTCCAGAAGTCACAAGAGCCTAATTTTTGTGATGATATACGAGATTTCATGATCTGAGAATTGAGAATAGGGCTTTGGCGTTAGACAATACCTTTTTACAATGGTTCCTAGCAGTAATAAACAGACGTCTGTTTTCTGGAGAATCGTTTTGCAGATAGATATGAAAGTAATGGTTTCGATTGGCAATTGCAGCAGCACAATGTGAGGAAAACCATGGAGAAGAGTAAGGCTTGACCTGGAATTGTCGAGAGGGAATAAAGGATTCCATGCCAGCCTGAATCCACGAAGTTACCCAAGAAGAATATTTGTCAACAGGAAGAAGAAAGATTTCTACCCAGGGGCCATCACGAAGAAAATCACGGAAAGAGTCTTAGTCAGCTTTAAGGTAGTAGTAAGATGTACAATAATAGGGGGATTCTGATGATAAAGAAGAATGAGATAATAGTTTTAGAGAGACCAAACCATGATCAGAAGCACCTAAGGGTGAGTGTGGAGAAACTGAGCACTGACTAGGATCAGAAACAAGACATAAGTAGGGTAGAGAAGGTAAATGATTCGGATTGTCTGGAATACGAGTTGGAAAGTTGACTATTTGAGTTAGGGATTGAGAAAGAC